CAATAAGAAAGGTTGAACATTAATTAACACAAAATTAATTATTAAAAATACAAGACAAAAATGTTAACAAGGACAAGTTTTAAGTCTTAACATATATACATAATATTATATATACATAATATTTTTTACTATGTATAATATGTTTAAATCTTGTAAACTTTAATGGAAATTCTATCGTTTATATTTAATGATAAATCTTGATTTATTCGAAGTTCAAATTATTAGACAAATATAAAAAAAAAATCTTATTATTTGAAATATCTCGCAAAACAAGAAAGATTTCGTCTAATCTCAATATCATTATTTAATATAAAGAAAAAAACAATTAAGTTTTACTTATATGAGAAATATATTTTCCTAGATGCGGTAGATCATTTATTATCTTCATTGTTATCTATATGCCGCATCATAATTCATGTCTATCATGACTGTATGCACAAGATTCTCACAGTGTTGTATAGCAGTAAATGCTACCACTGCCGCATCATGACCAGAATCGTGATGAGTTTACTACGTGTATCTAATTTTCTCTGAAATATCAATTCGAAATAGAAAAAAAGCGCATTCTTATTACGGTCTCTCTCGGATTCTCTTTGTAGCTCTCGGCGTTCCTTCGATGCGTTATCTTGCTATCTCATTCACTTCAGTTTGCGGCGATGAAACCTTATATGTTCGCGGAACGATGCAGCATCGGACAACGACAGATAGGTATAACAACCGAGCGAGTCGTTTGACAAGACCGTCCCTATCGATTTCTACTTGCATCCATTTGACTCACGCGCGCCTGCTCTCCTCTGTCCTATAACGCGCCAATTATTCTCGAGCGCTCGTGGGAAAGGTGTAATAATTCCGTAATAACTTCCGGAACATCGCCCGAGGAATAGTGAGAACGATAGCGAATGGCCGCATAACTGACAAACGAGATATCGCGCGAACAATTCCAATCATTTTTAGGAGCAATACGTATTTCGCAATTTAGACTCGATTTTTCTATTTTCGTACTAATACATCATACAGCAGTAAGATGTTTCACTTAAATTTTTGTTGTTTGATATATAAATTACATATTACACGCTCACCTAATTTTTTACTTTTTATATCGATTCCAGATTATGCAACCTGTCAAGTTTCTTCAGCAATATAAACGACTTCTTATGATAGATGTAATAACTATGTGCTTTCATTTTTAAGAATAAAATCGTGTCAAAAAAATTCCATTAGAGCTGTTAAAATATATCGATAAGAAATAGAAATAATAGCCGGAACGATCAAGGCTATAAGATCTTTAATGCTTAAATAATTTAATCTGAATTACTATATATTTATATATTATATATGTAGTTGCATATATCACATTTTTTTGTCATTCAAATTGCGCGCTGAATAGGTTTTCCAAACTTATAAACGTAATTAAACTACTGTAGTAATATCATGAATTAAATTGACAAGCAATTTTAATAATTTGATGTTCAATCAGGCATCCTATTAAAAAGATGTTAATATGCTAAGAAACTATAAATAAATTTATTGCGAAAAATATCACCTCGGGCGGGAATCGAACCTAAATCTCTTGTATTCCGTACGAAGGTTCTAAGCCTTTAAACTATTGAGGCTTGCGAAATCTCTACTTTTCAGAGCGGTATTTTAGAAAACGTTCTTATTGATATTTCATGAAATTACGCAAACATAAATGAAGATGCATTAAATCTCAAAATTTGCGAAGTTCCACGGCACAAATTAAAAATTATACACAAATGCGGTTTACAGCATTTGAAAGAGTGAATTTATCTTTAGAAGAGTTTATCTTTAAATTGTTTCTTTATTAAGCTCTGTACGATTTTTTTCATTCAGAGTTATTCAATATTGAAGCAAAAAAGTTGTTTTTGCTTCAATGTTGAATAACTTGGTGAAGAAAATCGTACAGAGTTTAATATAAAAGTAAATGAAAGGTAGAGATTCGCTCTTTCGAATGCTCAACCGATTTTGATTAGTGAAGCTTTTTGAATAGTGAACTATATGTTGTAACATTTTTTTTATGGATAAATTGCCAACTGTTTTATATAACTAATAATTGATATTCTACGTTATGTTACCCAACTATGACATACACGTATAGTGATAAATGAAGTTGAAACGAGCAATAGGTTCATTAAATGGTTCATTAAACTCTATTTGATTGTATTGCTTCGTGTTTGCGTCGCATGTTAAATCAGCGCAACATTGCGGCCAAATGCCAGTTGTATTAAGTTATGAGGCTGTGCTAACAGTCATCCGTTGGAACAACGACAATATCTTTGGTATTTTAACAGACTTCCCGATTATTTGTACATTCTTCGCGCGCGAAAATATTTCATTCTAGATACCTTCACCGACGTCACCGTTCTTAATAAGAAAAACTTTGCATTGATACGCGCACGAACAAAATTATCATGTAAACAAAAAAAAACAAACCTGATAACAACATTGTATCAATCGATAGAGAAATTCTTGCACGGTTGCTACATTGTAAGTCGCGATGGCGGGCGTAAGAAACCTTGAATGGAGTTGTAAAGATATCGGATTAAACAGCGCTTCAACTTGTAATCGCTGCATTTATTCTCTTGCTACGAATTACGTTCTTTTAAAGCGAGATTAAACCACGGAATTTTACATTGCAAAGATACACATGCTGTATTAAACTTTTCTAAATGTGTTTGGATTATTGTATTCTCGTAAAAAAATCTCGTTATATTGCAGATATCAGCATGTTTTTTAATGGTATATCGACGCGACATTTCGAATACCAATCCATTTTGGAGATGATATAACTTCAATTCTGAAAATCCGACTGTGATCAGCGTGTCGCGTTTTGGTTCATATTCACATCTCATTGAAATGCATGATGTTTCAAAACTGAATTTATATAACTTTCCAAATAAGCGATTCGATTTAGATAGAAAATCTAACATATGCGAAATATGTTAAACAAATACATTTAATATTAGGATAAGTGAGGAGATTATGTCACTTAAGAGAAATTAGATTTTTGTATAATTATTTGTTCAATTCAGAATGCTTCTATATACTGATCTTCTTCTTCCATTTCCTTCCTTTATGTATTTGTATGTGATAGTAAATAAATATTATATTTCCATTTTTACTATTATATATAAGAATAAAGAAGTACGATAGTAGAAAGTTGAAAAGTGAATAAAATGCCACCATGATGTGCCACCAAGCATGGGATAATATGGCATATACAAAAAAATAATATTACAACATACATTACATTATTTTATCTATTATAAAAACACAAAACATCCATTACATCCATTACGAACGTTGTTTGAATATTGGTATAACAATTGATATGGCATCAACATCTTAAACGTGCTATGGAAATTTTCATGAAGGTGATTCTGGTGCAAATGATCAAGCTTATAGATGGGAAGCTCGGACCGGAATAGGAAGGCTTTAGAGTTAGCAGAGTCCTGCATTGACTAAATCAACACACTCAGAAATAGTCTGTCGAAATGCTCTCCGTTCGTAGATATCTCTTGTTCATCGATTACGAGAAGACATTTGACTCCATTAATCGCGAATGCATCTGGGCTAAGTTGGGTAATATAGGCGTGCTCCTAAAAATCGTCTTCCTTATGTGAAAAATTAATGGGGAGGGATTTCAATATCGCGTTCTATACGAGGAAGAATTCTGTAAGAACTATTTGAGATCATTTTTGGCTGTCTTTTCTCATTGCTGTTTCTGATCGTCATGGATGCAGTAGCAAGGCATGTGAAAACAAGTCGAGAGGAATCATATGGAAGCCTCTCAGATCAAATAAGCGACTGATTTTCTTGGATGACTGAAATCTTTGGATTATGCGGACGATAAATGCGAGCTGTTACACAACATCAATGATACAGCAAAAACTGGCAATGGGGTCGTCTATCTTAAAATCAATGTCGCAAAGATGAAGGGCTCACTGATGCGAATCCAAATGCAGACTCCAACCGATCGTTAAAACTCAATGAAATGTCAATTGAGCGAACAGACGAGTTCCTATATCTGGGAAGTATAGTTGATGACGGTACTGTTAAAGATGTGGAAATTAGGATCAAGAAAACCAATGCTTTTATATAACTAAGCAAGATATAGCGTTTTACCATCTACAGTTAACATTAAGCTCAAGCTACACATTTTTTGATCGTACGTAATCTCTGCACTTTCATACAGATATGAGATTTGGCTCGTTACAGACAGCAATCAAGCAAAGAATCCAGATATTCGTCAACTGCTATCTTCGAGGGATCTTCCGTATCTTCTGGCCGAACATTATTAGCAATGAAACACTGTGAACCTGTACTGAACAACGAGATATCAATGTGGAGAAAATTTGGTTGGCTTGAACACACATTAAGAAAGAACCAGAGCGAAGTGCAACCGCAATTTACAATTCGCAGAGGAAGCGGAGAAGAGGATGCTCCAAAAAAACTTGACGTCGCTTTATCTTGGAGGAGGTAAATTTGTTGGAAATCCATAACAGACGCATTGATGAGTTCTGAGACTTGAAGAAACCGGCTGACCGACGAGAATGGAGATAATAATTGATAGACTGCCTATATCCAATATATCCAATATATCCTACTGCCAGAGGCTCAGAATCATCCAACGCCGAGCAAGGCGTTATATGTGTATGTATATACATATATAATATATATATTTCATATATAATTTTGTATAATTGTATATAATTTATATATTGCATAATTATAAACATATGATTAATAATATAATTATAAACATATGAAAAACCTTTTACCGGGATATTATAAATAATCGAATAAAATTTTTTAATTTAAAAAAAATAACGTGTTAAAAAAGCTCTTTATGTATACAATGTGATAAATTTTATTTTATTGACACTTTTAGAATAGTAAATAAATAAATCGAATATTGTATTTATATTCCGCTTATTTATAAAATTCACATATGTCAATCAATGAATTTCAACAACTCTTACCGTGCCTTCTCCTAGATTGTGGACAACACAAGGCATTAGGGCTGTGGATCCTGATTGAGCTGAAACCGATGTTGAATTTTCCGTACCGAAAGTCATCGGCAGGGTTGGTGGCAGATCGACATCTAATGGCTTTCCCGTCGTGCCGTCCAACGAGTTCATGTTAACATCAACTATTTCAGCCGTCACTGCTGTAGGATACTCTGAAACAAATCAATTGTACCATAATTTTGTAAGTACAGATTACAAAGCTTTTATAATTTATATATCAGCAAATGTTGTTGCAGTATTGACGGCTCTAACACTATATTGGACTAGATTGGATAAGAAATGACAAAGAAGATCTCAATTTAAATAATTTTTTTCGTTCTCGATATAAATTCCATCTCACAGACACGTATTAATGCATATGCTTTAATCTTGGAAAATGATTTTCACATTTACGAGGAAAGAAGTAATTATTAGACAAAAATTATTGCGTTTAAGTCGATAATATAAACGCGTAAGGGAATGCTGGAGCTGCCTGTATTATACGCCGATAAAACTAGCATTTTTGACGTTTTTATTTCTGTCCGCGAAGAAGTGTTTTCACAGAAAAAAATTCCTTTTCCACGAAAAATTAAATTGTATATGCTAATGTATTTGTCGCTGATGTATTTTGTGTTCAATGTGTTTACCTTCACCGTTGATTGCTATATTGAGATAAAAATGGATAAAAAAATTTGTAATTTTTTATTTTTTTCAGCTTTGAAAACAAAATATATCAGCGAGAAGTACATTAGATGTACATTTTAATAATGAAAAAGGAATTTTTATTCTGTGAGACTACTACGAAGAAATTCGACAAAAACAAAAACGTCTGAAAAAACGCTGATTAATTATACAGTCGGTAATACAGGCGGCTCCAGCATCCCCTTAACGAAATATTAATTTTTAAAGATAGCTGAATACGCGCGCCCTCCCGCCTACTATTGCCAAATGTACACGCATCGATCGCACGGGAAATGGGGATGGCCTGGTAAGCGCGCTGCTCGAGTCAATTTGACTGCTCTTCCTGTCTAGGGGCGCATTGTCTATACGAAGTAAGGTCCAAAGAATAATCAAACTCAAAACATATTTAGGTTTGAAGTGGATATCGCGTAGAAAATTGTGCACTTTTAAGCATGAGAGGAAGTGGGATGGACCTCCTTTCGTGTGGAAAGTCATTATGCAAGGAGGGCAGGTTTAGAATAGTTTTTAACATTGTATGTAGCAGAAATAAGATGTTATTTATTAAACTTTTTTTATTACTAACTTTTTGATGAATAACTATCGATAGTAGGTAAAACTTTTTAGAGATTACTTAGGATCATGACCTTATTAATATGTAACAAAGACGAGAATTTAAGAGGAAGCAGGAGTTTACGCGGTAATTAGTGCGCATAAATATAATGAAGTATATTTTAATAAATATACTGATAAATATATTGATAATATGTGTCAAAATTAAGATCATCAAAGTGGAATCATTTTCTGTTTGATATTTACCCTTTAAATTGTTTAACTATTTAAATTCTTCATATAATTAATAATTAATGTCGGGTCTATTAATCATAAAGTAAGTTGTAGTCCGGTGAAATCAGCCAGTTCTCGTAAAAAGACTAGTTCGAATTAACCTTTTGAGTAAAAGTTGCATTAACTTTTTCCAACGTATATGGAAATACGAAATCATGCAACTTCATAGATATATATAGTTAATTTGAAAGCTATATGATCCAAATTCTCTTTCGAGTCAGCACAAAAATATTTTTTATCATTCCAACTTCTGCCTTACACACAGTCTCTCTTTTTCTTATATTTTATATAAAATACGCTTTCAATTGTGATATTAGAAACAACTTTTAAGATAAAATAAATCAATAATTTGTATTATTATATTATATTTTAAGCGTAATATAATTCAATAGAAGCAATAGAAGGAAATTGATATTTTGTGAGAAAAATCAAAGAAACTTATAAAGTATAATTCTTTAAATAAATATTGCATAAAACAAAAAACAAATTTTTCTAGCATGTTTAATTGGATTTGTCATTTTGATGAACAATACAACGCAGCCGTAATAAAAGGATCATACATTTCTTTATAAACGCAATTTCAACGACTGCGTCTCTTGACGTAACCGTAATTACATCGCGTTTTTCGATTAATTACTCGCCGACTTCGTTAAAAGTACGGTTGTGGGATTGCTGTGCACTTCTCTGCGAAATGCGGCACGTTAAATTGCGACGTTAAGCTTACGCGTACCACTTCGCAACTACGATGCGTCAGCCCCGAGTGACATAGCTAAAATAACGTGATGCTCTCGTACCGGATGGAATTAGACGTATTTGAAAAAGTTTGATGTCAGTTTAAAAACTCTGTTCATTCTCACAATATATCTAATCAAGTAATGACGGATTTATTTTTATAACATAATCGTGCTCCCTTCTTCTTTTATATTTTTGTGTTAATGACACACTAGAATCCCATAATGTTATCTACATAACTTTGCTGTTAACAATTTTATTTTAATGTACAAATTGTATATAATATTAAGAATAAGATATAAAAAAAGAGGGAATTTTTTTCCCCCTTAGAAATATTCTGTGACATGTCGTGACATATGCATTTCATGCATCGAAATATGTAAATAAATAATGTTCGTTTTCACAATGAACCAGATCTTAACAAATTTATATGAAACGAGATTAAATCTTCGACGAGTTCTTCATAGATTACATGAGTGAAAATTTTTCTCGGTTGCGGAATTCGTTAATTATGATTTATTGCTCCCGTGTATCCTGGCACTTTGGAAACTTATGCGGTTGTAAGCAACTGTAATTTCCTTGAATTTCCGCGTAACGTGCATCTTTTACACTAATTTCAGCTACAAACTTTTCCTTAACGTCGGTTAAACCAAGCTAAAATACTGAAGTCATATATCGAATATTCATTTTGTTATACCTCGTTCGTTTGCGTTCACAATTTTATTACGGTCATTCGAATTTGTCTCATATTATTATAGATACATTATGCAAGTGTTTTTATGCAGTCACTTTTGCAACATACAGCAAAAAATATAATATAATATATGTCCTCTTGTACAATCCAAACATCATTGTACAAAAGAGAACAGACATCACAATTGCTCTGTATGCTTTATTTTTAAGAAAATTGAGTGACTCACCTCGGGTCAACCCCGAGGCGAAGTGACATTATTTATTTTCTTTTACATAAAGTCTTTATAAACACTAACTTAAAAAATGATAATTTCATAATAAAACGGTAAAAACTGAAAATGGTAATTTCAGTATTAATAAAACAATTCGATAATTTGAAAAATATTTAATAAAATAATAATTTAATATTTATTATAATATTAAGAATAAAGAAATATATTTAAGTGGAAATTAAAAAAAAATATTTTTTTGCATTATTAATTAAAAATTCCTTTTTTTTTATATAATTCATTATGCTAAGTAATTCTAAAAGTATGAAATATCTTATTTTCATTACACACACATTTTAAAGTTTTCAATCATAATAATAATAATTGATACATTTTATCTTGCAAATATTAACAAAAATTTTCTGAGTGTATAATTCTTTTATAAATGTATTTGTAAAATATTGAATCTAATATCTTCTGAATGTACAAACTTTTTTAAATTATTTAAATTTCATTGAATTAAGGAAACCTGAGACCCGTTTGGTCAATCGAATAATCTTATAATTTTGCTAGAATTATTCTTAGTGTGGCACAAAATTGTAAAAACTCTTACGCCATAAAAACACGTGTTTATAATTGTTTCGTTAGAAATCAGTTGAGGTGAAAATGGAAAACAATTAAGGGATTACGAGTTTCTGCACATCAATTTGGAAATAATAGTTAAATGTGTTACATTGACTTGCAAATTAACACGCAAAACCATCATTATGCCATTGTTTTCTATATCGGATGCAATTTCGACTGAATTTCTGAAATAAATTTGTGCGCGTACTTTTCACCGATCAAATCTTTTTTAATTCTACGTAGTCAACCTATACAAAGAATAGTTTTAAAAACTGCGTTCGAAATAAACGTACTGAATTTACTTCACATCATTAAACTTAAAATATTTTAATTAATCGCAATTATTTAAGAAAAAAGCAAAACATAAATGAAAAACTATTTCCAATTCTATAACGTAATCCATCGATGAATAACTAAATCTTAAGAAATTAATTAAGAAATTAATCCACTTGCGAGTATCCTGCAGTGCTTTTGGCGCGAGACAATTGTAAATACATTTACACTGAAATTAAGATGGATATGTTTACACTGAACATTGAAATGAACTGACTGCATACTGTGAGCCGTCTTCGTACAGGAAAACAGCATGATTTTTACTGAAAAATCAGCATATTGTTCTGTAAAAATCACGAAGCTGTAAACTGAAAAATGTCTCTTTAAAATTTCATTTTGACACAGAAATCGCATTAAGATTATGTACCTATTGCTTCTTCTAGCTGCTAATAGTAATACAATTAATACATCCTTCATGGCGCTTAGTAAAAATCGTCTTCAGTAGTAGAGATAGCGTAACATTTTTCACAAACGTTAATTTGACACTGATTGTCCTTACGAGGTTTTAATTAGCTCTCTTATTGTTAGTTATAAAATCGGTATAACATGGTAGTAATCTTAAAGTTTCAATAATTATCGTTTGTAAAGTCTGTATCATGTATGACACTTTCCCAATGTAACAATTTGCAACGTTGTCGCAATTTGTTATCCGATGCAACACACTATACCATATAAAAAATATATCGGAAGTGAAAAATGTTGTCGATATTTTTGCAACGGAGTCGAGACAGTTTTGCGAGGGAACACGCCTCGAGGTCTCGAT